TTAATTAATTATGTTAAAATTAAATTTCAAATTAATTAAATATTTTATAATTTTGTAATTTAGTGAATGAATGAAAATGAATTTAAATTATATTTTTTATAAATAATTAAATTAAAATTATAGTTTTTTATAAATAATTAAATTAAAAGTATTTTTTAAATCTTATAATGATAACTTTTTAGTGATGTTAAGTTAATATAACAAGAGATTAATAATATAATATGAAGTTTTAAGGGATAAAAATATAATTTATTTTATATCTTAAAATATGTAAGATGGATAACATGATTTACACTTATTTTTTTAGCACATGAGAAAAGTTTATTAAATTAACTCATTTTTTAATACAATTTCTAATAAACGATAATGAATAGAATAAAAGTTCAACAAAACAAGATTTTATAAAAATCAAGATTAAAGTTTGAAAAGGAAAAAAACAGATTTTATTTTATATAGAATTTGATGATTTTATTAATAAATATAAGTAAAAAAAATGTTTAATAACTTAAATATATTTTAGTCCTTCAATTTTAGAATAAATTTATTTTTGTCCTTTAAATTTACAAGTGTTATTTTTAATTATAAAATTTTCAAAAAAATTGTTTTAATGTTTCATGTTCCAATAATATATTTAAAAGTCATAGATTGAAACATTTATATATCATCATTTAAGTTTAATGTAGTGTCACTAATAGAGGTATTAGATAAATTTTATGCAACAATATTAGACAATTTTTCTAACAAAATTTAAGTATAAGGACTAAAACATTTTAAGCCTTAATTTTCTTTTAAAATACAAATTGTAAAATTTTAATTACTGGTAAAAAATAAAAATTCAAATATTTTAATGACACTCATAATAAATTATAAAATATGTGATGATTTATTGATTACGTACGTTAATTACGAACTTACGACCTTTGTTCTTTAAATGTATTTAATTATGTTTTAAAATAAATTATAATTATACCAAATGTATAAAGTTAAAATCTTTAGCAATTA